GCTCACTTGCTTGCAGGTGAGACTACGCCTAGCGTCCATTTACTGGCACCCAACTCTCACCTGTGGCTCCACGTAGCTGGGCTCTGCTCAGCGGCCACACCCCGGGCAACCGCCTCGACCGGCGGGCTAAACCAGGTGAGGGCGCTGTGCTCTTGTGCCGCGTGCACAGTGTACTGCGGGCTCCGTTGGACGTTTGGTCGGATGAAACGTTGCGCCGGCGTCGTCGAGACGAGGCTCTGCCTGGTACGCCGTTGGACAGCTGCTGCCGGAATGGGTCCCCGCATCGTCTTCGCTGAGACGCGCCCACCTACGCCGACGGAGACCGCAGACCTCGGCATATGCGGTCGTTCTCCACTACAAACATAAAGTCGTGGTCCCATAGTGGGATTCGGTCGCGCCAAACAGGCACACAGGCAGCCCGAATCGGGGGGCACTGCCTGTCCCCATTACGGGGGAGGGCCTAGAAAAGGTGGCCTAAACATTGCTGGGCACCACGCCGTCTCCAGGCTAGCCAGGGCCGCAGACGTCTAAACATGGTCCAAACACTCAAAACCGAAACAACAACAACACAACCAATAATAATAATAACAACAACAACAACAACAACAACCATACTCCTTCTCCTCGTCCTAACCCTTCTGCCTCTATCTCCGTCTATTCTTCTGCCTATTCTTCTCCTTTGTCATCTTCTTCTCCACCTCCTTCCCGCCGCCCCACTCGCTGTCACCAGACTGGTAGGGTGAGCCCACTCACTCTGGCAGCCTGGAATGTTCGTTCCCTTTTAGACAATCCGAGGAGCAACCGACCGGAACGGAGGACGGCGCTAGTGGCACGAGAACTGGCGCGCTACAAGGTGGACATCGTCGCACTCAGCGAGACCCGATTCTCCGAGCAAGGCCAACTGGAGGAGGTGGGTGCTGGCTACACCTTCTTCTGAAGTGGTCGACCCAGGGCAGAGCGACGAGACGCGGACGTCGCCTTCGCCATCCGGACCGACATCGTGGGACGACTGCCCTTTTTGCCGCAAGGAATCAACGACCGTCTGATGAGCCTCCGCCTGCCTCTCTGGGGAGGCAAATTCGCCACCATCATCAGCGCCTACGCTCCGCCGATGACCTGTTCCGACGCCGTCAGAGACAAATTCTACGAGGACCTGCATGCACTCTTGGCGACTGTGTCGAAGGTTGACAAAATGATCGTCCTTGGTGACTTCAACGCCCGCGTCGGCACAGACCATACTGCCTGGAGGGGAGTGCTGGGTCCTCACGGTCTCCGCGGCTCCAACGTCAACGGCCTGCTTCTCCTCCGCACCTGCGCAGAACACCGCCTCACCCTGACGAATACCTTCTTCTGTCTGCCGGAGCGAGAGGAGGCCACCTGGAGGCATCCTCGGTCGCGTCAGTGGCACCTACTGGACTATGTCCTCGTTCGCAGGCGAGATCAGCGGGACGTGCTGGTGACGAAGGCGATCGCGGGTGCTGACGGGTGGACCGACCATCGCCTCGTCATCTCGAAGATGCGTATTCGCCTACAGCCTCGCAGGAGACCACAAGGTAAGCGACCCCCAGGTAAGCTGAATGTTGCCTTGTTGTCTTTGCCTGCTCACCGTCTCCATTTCAGTAATCAGCTAGCCCAACGGCTAGACAACTTTCCTATCGCTGCCGCCGCCGACGACGCCGCCGCCGCTGCCGAGAACACCTCCGTGGAAAACCGCTGGTGTCAACTGCGAGACACGGTCCAGTCGACGGCGCTCGCCGTCCTCGGTCGCGCTCCCCGCCAACACCAGGACTGGTTCGACGACAACGACGCCGCCATCAGCAATCTGCTTGCTGAGAAGAACCGCCTACACAAAGCCTACGTAGATCACCCCACTGAGGACAACAAAGCTGCCTTCTACCGCAGTCGCCGACAGCTTCAGCAACGACTGCGCGAGATGCAGGACGCCTGGACTGCTCGCAAAGCTGAGGAGATCCAAGGCTACGCGGACCGCAACGAATGGAAGAACTTCTTCTCCGCGATCAAATCTGTCTACGGTCCGCCGACGAAGGGCACTGCTCCTCTCCTCAGCGCCGACGGCAGTACTCTCCTGACTGAGAAGTCGCAAATCCTACAGCGATGGGCCGAGCATTTCCAAGGCGTCGTTAACCGCCCCTCCGTCATCTCCGATGCCGCCATCAAGCGTCTGACGCAAGTGGAGACCAACGTGGACCTCGACCTCCCGCCATCTCTCCAGGTAACCATCAGGGCCGTGCAGCAACTCTCCAGCGGGAAAGCACCCGGATCGGACGCAATCCCTGCTGAGGTCTACAAGCACGGAGGTCCCCTACTGATGGATCACCTGACTGCGCTCTTCCAGGAGATGTGGCGTCAAGGTGAAGTCCCGCAAGATTTCAAGGACGCAACTATCGTGCATCTCTACAAGCGCAAAGGGAATCGCCAAGTCTGCGACAATCACCGCGGCATCTCCCTACTGAACATCGCCGGGAAGATCTTCGCTCGCATCCTGCTCAACCGCCTCAATAACCATCTGGAACAGGGCCTTCTGCCGGAAAGCCAATGCGGCTTCCGTCGTCATCGTGGGACCACGGATATGATCTTCGCAGCCCGTCAACTTCAGGAGAAGTGCCAGGAGATGCGGACACATCTGTACTCTACCTTCGTGGACCTGCCGAATGCCTTCGACACGGTGAATCGTGAAGGACTGTGGAAGGTCATGCAGAAATTCGGCTGTCCGGAGCGATTCACTCAGATGGTGCGTCAGCTGCACGACGGTATGATGGCGCGAGTCACGGACAACGGAGCTGTCTCAGAGGCGTTCGCAGTGACCAACGGAGTGAAGCAGGGCTGTGTGCTGGCGCCTACCCTCTTCAGTCTTATGTTCTCTGCCATGCTGATGTACGCCTACCGCTACGAACGCCCTGGAATCCGCATCGCCTATAGTACGGACGGTCATTTGCTGAATCACCGGCGCATGAACTTCCAATCGCGTGTTTCCACAGCCACCGTGCACGAACTCCTCATCGCCGACGACTGCGCCCTGAACACCACCTCAGAAGAGGAGATGCAACGGAGCATGGACCTATTCTCCGCCGCCTGCGAGAACTTTGGGCTGGTTATCAACACGCAGAATACATTGTTGATTCTCCAACCGCCACCCAACTCAGCCACAGCCCCCAACGCGCCGCCGCAAATCAACGTGAATGGGACTCAACTGCAAGTGGTAGAGAACTTCCCGTACCTGGGCAGCACGCTCTCCCGCAACACCAAGATCGACGACGAAGTCGCCAACAGGATCTCGAAAGCCAGTCAAGCCTTCGGTCGCCTCCAAAGCACAGTTTGGAATCGCCATGGTCTCCAACTGAGCACAGAGCTGAAGATGTACAAGGCCGTCATCCTGCCGACGTTAATGTACGGAGCGGAGACCTGGACGGTGTACACGAGGCAGGCACGTCGACTAAACCACTTCCACCTCAGCTGTCTTCGCCGTATCCTGAGGCTGAACTGGCAGGACCGCATCCCCGACACGGAAGTGCTGGAACGAACGGGAATCCTCAGCATCTACGCCATACTGAGACAAATGCAGCTGGGTAAGTTGATAGTTGGTAGCCGTGCCCCGAGACTCCCTAATGGTACCTACTGGCTCGATTTCAGTAGCTGTGATTGCGTTCTCATTAGGCTTCTAAATTCACGTGCACGCTGTATTGCCTGTATCAGATTCATTTTAGAGGTGCTATCCTGGGCAGATTTTCACCGGTAACGATCACAATGAGGCTTAACCTATGTCAACTTTCATTAGAATAGGTAGTTGGCTGCCGTGCCCACAGAATCCACAATTGTACCTACTGGCCTGATTTCAGTAGCTATGATTACGTTCTCATTATGCTTCTAAATTTACGCTGTATTACCTGTACCAGATTCATTGTGGAGGTACCATCCTGGGCGGATTGGCACCGGTGAAGATGACAATGAGTCTTTCCCTACATCAACTTTCATAAGAAGAGGTAGCTTTCGACTGCCTCATTCATTGTAGAGGTACTATCTTGGATGGATTGGCACCGGTAACGATGACGATGGGGCTTACCCTTTATCTACTTTTATTAGCAGAGGTAGCTTTCGACTGCCTCATTATTTGCGGATTTTCTCTTCCGCCCAAACCAATTTTTCGCATAAAAGTCTTACCCGGCTTACGTTGTGGCGTCCCGCGTGCCGCTGCTTGACTCTCGTGTTCTTCTCTCCATTATGTTGGATGGAGTTCTATCGCACACACTGCGGAATGACCTTCGGAACAGTTGCCTTCTTCCCATTGGTTGTTCGCCATCACTTGCTATTTTTTCCAATCTGAGGCTAGGATGCATTTATTCCGCACACCGTTCAACGTCTCCTTGCTCATTTCCACACTTTCCTTGTATGTTTCACCTAATCTAAATTAGGCTTCCACTTTACCTGGAGCGTCAATTCCTAGCATATACTATAATCGCCATTTACCCGTCCACTCAACTGTCCCACCCGCATGGCCCCTATTACCACCGGTCCCGATTAACAGGCAGCTGGGAGTTTGCAGTGTCAGGAGGGCTACCAAGTCTCATCTAACCTGCAGCTGCGCTGGAGCGGCCACCTGGTGCGCATGGACGACGAGCGACTACCCAAACGACTCTTCTACGGAGACGTCGCGACGGATTCTCGTCGTCAAGGAGGCCAAATTCGCCGTTACAAGGATTCCTTGGAGTTTTCCCTGAAGCGCCTGCAAATCAACCCGACCAACTGGGAAGAGCTCGCCCGCGATCGTCCGACATGGAGGAGAACAGTGAAGACGGGCGCTGCTATCTACGAAGCCAACCGCATCGCCGCCGCCAACGTGAAAAGCGAAGCCCGCAAATCACAATCTCGCCCAGTACACAACGCCGCCACACAAACGCTCCCAACGTGTCCTCGATGTCAACGGACATTCGGGTCTCGAATCGGACTTTTTGGACATCTTCGGATCAACTGTGCCTCTCGAACTGCACCAACCATCGCCCCCGCCCGCTTCTTCCTCTTCCTCCTCCTCTCCGCCGACGACAAACTCTGACAATTCTTCATCTGAACCACCACTTCCATCGTCATCTTTTTCCTCCCCCTCCTCC